TAGCCCAAAGGGTGTTATCCAGAATTGTGTTCGGTAGTTCTTCCCTCTCCTCTTCAGATACCGGTATGGTACTGGCCGGTAACTCATACGAGAGCCAACTTGAATCCATCATGTCCGGCACGTCAGAGGGTTTCTCAAGAAGCCTACATATGACGCCATGTGAATCGGGCTCTTGAATGGTGGGAGGGACCTCTTCAATGATGACAGTGGCCTCTTGAACGGTGGGAGGGGACTCTCGAGGAATGATAGGGGGGGCCTCTTCAACGATAGGAGTGGACTCTTGAGGGATGACAGGAGAGTCGGGCTTCTTCTTGCGGTGTCTTCGCACTATTGGGGTGTACGGAGACTTAATAGCACGTGCACGCTGTCTGATGCGTGAACTCCGTCGTGCAAGCATAACCCGACGTAAAGCATCCACTCTATCGGGCCGCTAAATAATTAAATACAAAAATCAGTAAATAAACAGACATGATATTTAAACAGTGAAAACAAAGACAAATATGTTTCAAACTTGCATTGTATTCACCCAAGTCATTATTCTATCATAGTTCACAAAATGCATCAGATAACAAAGAAAAATATGTTTCAAACTAATACCCTGAAGTTAGTATTTGTCTTTGTTTTGTCTATTGGTTGAAGTAATGCAATCCATTCAAGTTTCAATTTGCAGAAGAAGAAATAGTTTACTTTCGCAACACGAAACTTAAAATCGCAACGCGAAATGAGAATCGCAACGAGAAACCAAAATCGCAACGCGAAATGAAAATCGCAACGACAGAATCGCAATGCGAAATGAAAATCGCAACGAGAGAATCGCAACGCGAAATGAAAATCGCAATGCGATTTTGTCGTTGCGATTTTGGTTTCGCGTTGCGATTATGTCGTTGCGATTTTCATTTCGCGTTGCGATTCTCTCGTTGCGATTTTAAGTTTCGTGTTGCGAAAGTAAACTATTTCTTCTTCTGCAAATTGAAACTTGAATGGATTGCATTACTTCAACCAATAGACAAAACAAAGATAAATACTGACTTCAGGGTATTAGTTTAGCAGAATTGGCAGCAACCGAACAAATTTACTTTCAACCAAAAGACAAAACAAAGACAAATACTATTTCACAGTGTTAAAGAATACACAGTTTAGCAGAATTGGCAGCAACCGAACAAATTTACTTTCAACCAAAAGACAAAACAAAGACAAATACTATTTCACAGTGTTAAAGAATACACAGTTTAGCAGAATTGGCAGCAACCGAACAAATTTACTTTCAACCAAAAGACAAAACAAAGACAAAGACTATTTCACAGTGTTAAAGAATACACAGTTTAGCAGAATTGGCAGCAACCGAATAAATTTACTAAGCAATCTAAGTGAAATGGCTAATCTAAGTGAAATTACGAGTAAATTTATCATTAAGTTAAATATGGAAAATCTTAAACTTACCTCGTTGTGTAGAGTATGAACCTCATTCTGCAACGATACTATCATCTCACGTAGAGCGGCAACCTCACCACGTAAAGTTGACACCTCCACACGCCATGCACCATCGTTATCGCGTAGAGTACCGATCTCCTCACGCAAGGCATTGACCTCATCACGTAACTCATCCCGTGGAGGTGGAGAACAAGGAGATAAATGTCGTGGCCTCTTTACCGGTCGCCTATCATGAGGTGATGGTGGAGAAGAGGCTCGATGATGTGACGGGATAGGTGATGGCTCTCGTTCTAGAGGTGTATAGTCGGGTCGATCGGGTGATGGCTCTGGGTGGTGAGGTGATGGCTCTCGAATTGGAGGAAGTGGATGATGCTCATCATCCGTGCCATCAAAAAAACTCTGACTAGCTTGCCACCAATCAGTGGCAAGCTCTTCCTCCGTGGGTGTCAGTCTTTGTAATGGAATGTTGGCCTCCTAACAATATAAAAACTCAAACAAAGTTAAACGTCTACTATTAATAACTTGTTTATATATTATATGAAAGTATTTGTGTTAACTTACATTATTTATTGTCGCATATGGTATTAAGTCTTCCCAATCCAACAGATTTTTCCTCTTCCAGGAAATAGCCCTGGGAATATCATTTGACGTTTTTATTGCATATGTACGCATGCTGGGGAAAGCCTCGAATATCCAAATCTACAAACAATATAATAACAAAATTAGTAATTGTTAAATAATTAATTATAATTTTAGAAACATTATATAGAAATTCTTACCTTAAAGGCCCAAACAAAGCCTGACAAAGTGTATTTCGACCCATCGCCACGCAAACTTTTGCGGTCATCAAAGGCAGTAGACAACTTAGTCCAGGTAGCTTTCCATATATACGAACCCCACGGAAACAGATTCCATGCATTCAGGTCCTCTACCAATATTATTAGCTCCCGAGGAATAGGTTGTCTGGCCTCTCTGCCTAAAAAGCCGGCATACACAAGTAGTAGAAGGCATACTCGGACAACATCGACGTCATCCATCCGAGTGAAACCAGCTTTCTTATTAAACAATTTCTTCAGGTCGTCGACGTGTAGGTTCGGCTTCTCCATTGACTCATCCGGAAACACCCGGGATAACCATGATGGGCGGGCGATATGACGAGTGTACCAGCCTACATCATCGTGTCCGAATCGTAGACCAGTGATTAAGCAGAACTCCTTCCGCCCAAAACAAGTATACGCTGGTGGAAAATGAAACCATATCTCTTCCTCACCACGTTGTATACTGTCGGGTAGATTTGATGTCATGGTCTGAAGCCACAAATGGATCAAATTAGCATCTCCACCCGGATGCTGTACTCTCAGCCATGGCCCGAAGCAGGTTTCCTCAAACAATTGTCTTTGTGCAGGTGAAAGCTTCGAAGCAATTGTAGTGGCTAGGCTAACTTTATTCCTTAATGTCAATGAAGCCGAAAAAAATTTCTACAAAAACAATAAACATACCAAGTTAGATATACCAAAAACTACACTGTGAAGATATACCAAAAACAATAAACATAAAAAGTAGTAGTTTATTCTTGAAACTAAAATTTGCAACACTGTTTTGTCTTTTGGTTGAAATGAAAATCGCAACGAGAGAATGACTGTCGCAACGAGAGAAATGAAAATCGCAACGAGAGAATCGCAACGCGAAATGAAAATCGCAACGAGAGAATCGCAACGCGAAATGAAAATCGCAATGCGATTTTGGTTTCGCGTTGCGATTCTCTCGTTGCGATTTTCATTTCGCGTTGCGATTCTCTCGTTGCGATTTTCATTTTTCTCGTTGCGACTCTTCTGCAAATTGAAACTTGAATGGATTGCATTACTTCAACCAAAAGACAGAACAAAGACAAAGACAAATACTAACTTGAAAATCGCAACGAGAGAATAGCAACGCGAAATGAAAATCGCAACGAGAGAATCGTAACGCGAAATGAAATCTAAGTGAAATGGTTAATCTATTATTGAAATGACCAGTAAACATATCATCAGTTTCAATATAAAAAACCTACAATAATGCAAAAAATTCAAAATAAAAATAATTAAAAAAAACTAACCCTCGGAGGTTGATTTTCCATTTCTGAATATTGTGAGGGATTTCTGACCGTGAATGGTTGTGAGGGATTTCGCCGGAGATGGGGACGGAAATCTTCGGAGATGGGGACGGATTTCGCCGTAGAGAGTGAGAGATGGAGATGGGACTGAGTTGTGATTTTAGGTTTTAGGTTATGAGTTGTGATTACGGGATTTTGTCTTAATATTCGTTTTTTGTAATTTGAAAATAAAATACGCGTAGCGATTATAATGGCGCTTTAAAAATCGCGTTGCGATTTACGGATACGCGTTGCGATTTACTGATTATCGTTGCGATTTACGGATACGCGTTGCGATATACGGATACGCATTGCGATTTACGGATACGCGTAGCGATTTACGGATACACGTTGCGATTTACGGATACGCGTTGCGATTTATGTGTTCGCGTTGCGATTTTCATATTCGCGTTGCGATTCTTGAAAATCGCAATGCGAATTTGTACTATCGCATTGCGATTGTCAAGAATCGCGTTGCGATTTTGGAAACTGATTTGCGATTCTGGGGATCGCGTTGCGATTTTTATTTCGCGTTGCGATTTTGTTGGTCATTTTGGCAAATCCAAAAAAAGTTGGTTAAAATCGTATATTATAAGGCATTTTTGGTCACTGAGGCGATTTTCTCTATATATTAATAACACAATTATAATGTGGGATAAATATAAATAAAATTTTAAGGTAAACACAATTAATAAAATAAATAAATAATCTGATAAAATTTGAATTTTAGAGCGGCACTTACCTACTTACCTGCCAATGATCATTTTGTCACAAACGATAACGTTAGTAACCGATTTGTAACTTTTGAAACATTAGTGGTGAAAACGAAAATTTACCCAAACATCAATGACCATTGGCGTAGTTTACCCTTTTTTATACAAAACTGTAATTTACCCATATTTAAAATACTCATTAATTTTATCTTTTAATTATGGGTAAAGTACAAAAATATCCCTTGCTTTGTTGAGTCCCTAAACTATTAAAAGTTACGAAATTGTCACCCGACTGTTCATATGTCACTAACTTTTTTTTGGTAAAAAAATGATGATCGTATGAGATAGACGTTAAAATGTTGAATGAGATATGATAATCGTTTGAGATTCTGATATCAAATTTTAACATATCTTAGTCAACAAGTTAACGTTTAGCTCAAACTATCGTTAATTTTTTAATGGAAAATGATGAGTTTGGAATATATGAGTAGTCGGGTGACTATTTTATAACTTTTAATAGTCGGGGACTCAACAAAATGACGCCCTATAGTTTAAGGATCATTTTATAACTTTTAATAGTATAAGACTCAATAAAGTAACACTTTATAGTCGATGAACCATTTATGTAGTTTACCCTTTAATTATCCAAGAAAATTAGTGTGGGCCTCACGGGTCTGTAAAAGATTTAAAATCCGGGTCTGGAAACAGGCACTTAAAAACCCAATTATAAAAACTCTTAAAAAACCCTAGAATCATACCATATATATGTTGTTCTATCTTCTCCGTTACTTATTATTCTTTTAGGCGGCAGAAGTAGCTCAGGCAGCCAGTTTAGCAGCCATGGTACTCATTCTTCTTCGTTTATATATGTATATATGTTGGTGATGATTGAACACTAAATTCGATTTTGTTTTGATTTTTTTTTCAGGTGAAGTATTCGAAGGAGCCAGATAATCCCACCAAGTGTAAAGCCACATTTCTCGCTTTGTTCGAGCATTTTACTTTCTCTTTATGCCCATACTTGTTCTTGGAAACTGATCATGCGTTGTGTTCTTGTGCAGCCTGCAAGGCAAGGGGCTCTGATCTCAGGGTTCATTTTAAGGTATTATAACGTTATTTTAATATAATTTGATCTGAACTTTATGAAATTTATTGGTATTGGTTAGCTTGTTGCTTGGGGATCTGTTTTTATATACGGTTGAAGATCCAATGAACCATATGATACTAATGAATGCTTATTACTTAGATGTCGATTAGCTCGGTAATGCTGTTTTCTTGAATGTATGGATAGTCCTATTGTTGCCTTAGCTAAGAATTAGATTATAGGCAGCTGCTAAACATCTCTGCTTTGTTTCATGATTGCTTTAGGGAGGATCTTTAAGTGATTTTTAGTAAACTTATTAGGATGTATTGTTTGTGTTCTTTTTTCTTTCGGCTTAGTATCTGGGATTCTGGATTCCTAAACCCTTTGAAAAAGTAGGGTCTTGTTGCCGTTCATGAGTGAGGCTCGTACAATTCAGTAAAATTATTTGCATTGTTATCGGGTGAACCGCCGGATCTTCTTGGTAACTGAGGGTTCAGTAAATGATGTTGCATTTTGTATTATTTTGGAAAGATGTTGGTGTTTGATTAGCTACATGAGAATTCGTTCAATTGTTTTTTGGGGTGTCTTGATGTCTATTGTTTTCTAGGGTGCATTTTTATGCCTTTTATTTTCGGGTGATCTTCACTAAGTTTTGTACCCACTTATTGCTGTATAGAACACAAGGGAGACTGCGTTTGCTATCAGGAAGTTGCCTTTAGGTAAGGCTAAGAGGTATTTGGAGGATGTTATGGCACACAAACAGGCCATACCTTTCCGACGCTTTTGTGGTGGTGTTGGACGTACAGCTCAGGCAAAGAACAGGCATTCTAATGGTCAAGGTCGCTGGCCTGTAAAATCTGCCAAGTTCATTCTAGATTTGCTGAAGAATGCTGAGAGTAATGCTGAGGTATGCCTACTCTTGTTGTTTTTTATGGTACTAAGTTCTATTGATTTCTGTTCATAATAAACCTCAAAATTATTTTCTCAGGTTAAGGGTTTGGATGTCGATGCACTCTATATTTCTCACATCCAGGTTAACCAGGCTCAGAAACAAAGACGTCGTACTTACCGTGCCCATGGAAGAATCAATCGTATGTCTTAGAACCATGCACTTATCATTCTGTACGGTCTATTGTCTTTCTAAATTTATAAGGCTGTTCTTTTTGCCAGCTTACATGTCTTCTCCTTGCCACATTGAGTTAATTTTGTCCGAGAAAGAAGAGCCTGTCAAGAAAGAGGTAATGTAAAACTGTAACTTAAATCTACTTGCGATTGAAAACTATGCTGCTATTGTATTTTTGGTTGAAAATATCTTCGTCTTCTTCCAGCCCGAGACTCAATTGGCAGCTAGCAAGTCGAAGAAGTCCCAAGTCTCTGCATAGGAGGTGCTTCCTTTCCAGCAAAGCATTGTTTTCTTTGTGAGGAAGTTTTGGTATTATTCAAAGCAGAATTGAGTTGTTTAGGATGTCTTTTGAATCCATGTCTAGTCAAATGTTATATGAGATTCCTCTTGGAGATTTTTTTGTTTAATCTATGTTTTTATACGTTTCTTGAATTCCCTGCCATGAATAATAATTAGAAAAAGGATCTAAGTTGCAAAAGTTGGTTGCTTATACCTCAAGAGTAGAGTAGTGGATCTGATAGTGGGGGAGTTGAGTCTTTTGATGGGGGCAACTATTTCGACTCCCTCTTGCGAAGAGGCTCGTCTGAGTCCAATCCAAGGCTATTCTCAGGTGGAAAATTTTTGGTCCGTAGAAAGATTGCTGCCGTTACTTTTCATTTTTTTGTTTTTCCCCTTTGTCACGGTGGTAGACTTAATGATGCCAAACACCAGTGGTGCTGCAGGGGAGGGTTGTTTTGACTGGCCATATCGATATCAAAGGCTTTAATCAAAATTTAGTATATTTGAGGGCTCTTCATTTCAACCTTCGTGAGAGCCTGAAGTGCCTGTTTTTCATGATTGGGTTCAGTTTCTATTATGATCTGATTATATAAGCAAAGGGGCCGGCTATTTTTGTGGTTCGAGTGTTTGATTCTAGGATTTGTTGATATGGTGAAAATTGAAGATTTATTTAATTTTAGAAGTGATCAAATTTAAAAAATATGATAATATTGAAAAATTTTATAATAATTGATTAAATTAATAAATGTATTTATTGATGATATTAAAAACCAAATAAGGTATTATATCAATTATTTAACGATTATGTTTCTTTCAAAATATTTTGGGCCAATAGTTGTGCACCCATCTTCATCTTAAATTTACGCTCCATGATATTGAAGAATACTAGAAGGTTAGATCAAATTGATTTTGATAAAAGAATACTAACATTCTATCAAGAAATAGTATCAATGTTCTTTTGTTTTTATGTGATTTCATGTTCGAGGAATGTAATAAACTAATTAATACGATTTGTTATGGTTTCTTTAAATAGATGATTTATACTAGATAAAACTTATATCTTAATTGTTGATATAAATCGACTTTTATTTTTCACGGTAAAAAATTTCAACTATAAATGAAAATAAAATTCACTTCATTTGTATCATCAATTATTTGAATAATACATATCTTTTGAGTGCTGTACTTTTATGTTTATCTAATTCTTTAATAGTGTGTTCATAGTGGTTTAAAATTTTATAAACTATTATATAGAATAATTTACATGATTAATTCAAATCTATCATCTAAAATCATCGCATGAAATAATTACATATTTCCAAGTTCCAACCCGTGACAATTTTACTAAAAGAATTTATCACTAATATGTGAGTATAATTTATCCTAAAAATAATCCTCTATATAAAAATATATCTCATGCCATTAATAAAAAGCTTTTGCTTGCACCTAGTTTTGAGCAGTTGATCTAACGGCTACTGTATCCATTCTCGGTTTGGATCGTGTGGTCGTGAGATGTCGTCAGTTCTCCTTATGTTAAAATATGAACTTGAATTTCTCACGTTCTGTACTTGGCTTTCAGTTCAAAGCATCCTCTCCCTCTCTTAGCTTATCGGGTTCACTTTCAGGTAAGCTTCATTTTTGTTTTAAGTTTTACTGTATCCAATTGATATAACTCACTTTTCTTTCTTTCTTTTTTCCCCAATAATTTCTGATTTGTATTATTTGCTCGTGGATCGAAGTATAAGAATTATGTTGAAAACGAAAGAGGAGCATTCACGCTTCGAACGCGAGGATGATTTTTTGTTTAATAATTCTGAAATCTAACGAAGCCCTAATGTTTACCCTTCACTATTTGATGCTCAAATTCCGATCTCTCTTTTTTTGTTTCCACACCTTCTGATCGCGATTGATTTTGATGAGATTTAGACTTCTCTATTCGTCTGTTTTTTTTCTTGCTAACCAAACAACATTAAAGGGTTTGATCTGTCGATCTTCGCTTCCTTGACACAATCAACGATCTCTAGGTTTTGACGAAGAAAGCTTGAAGGAGAACCATTTTGGGGATCGAGATTCATGTTTTTTCTGAATATATGATACCTGCAGTAATGGTGAAATAGGAAATAAAATTAGCAAAGATCAATGTCTTCTTAGTTATAGTCTCGTTTTAGTTTTTGTTATCATTAATTGGTGTTGAATTGTATTGATAGATGGATTGGCAAGGGCAAAAGCTAGTAGAGCAGATAATGCAGGTACTGCTATTGGTGTTTGCAGTGGTTTCATTCGTTGCTGGTTTGGTATTGGGATCGTTTCAGATGATGATGCTTGTATATGCCAGTGGCGTGACTCTCACCGCCTTAATTACTATTCCAAACTGGCCTTTTTTCAACCGCCACCCACTCAATTGGTTGGATCCCAGTGAGGCCGATAAGCATCCCAAGCGACAGGTAGCCGTGAGTTCGAAGAAGAAAGGCACCAAGAAGTAGGGTCATTTTGATTTCGTCTTCTGTTGCTAGGAGGCTGAATGGATGGGTTTTTTTAAGCTTTTATTTACATCAATGGGTACTGTAGTCTGCTAGGTTTCTTGAAAACAATTAGTTGAGGGGAACACCTTATGCATCCCTTTTATCTTTCTTCCTTTGCCTATATTATATTGCTATGAAACAATTGAAGGGAATTTTCATTTTCATTTGCATCTTGATGCCTTTTAAGATGTTACATTATTGCTTTGCTATCAAAGGCCAGAAAGCCTTTGTTTGGTTGGCTGCAGGAAAATCGAAGATGATTTAAAGCACAAGGCTATTATCAAGATGGCAGATCAAGTTTACATTGTCTTTCATGGAAAAAAGGTTAGGAACTTTATCATTTTCACGTAAAAGAGCAATGAGTTTCCTACTGGTTTTCATTCTCTATTGCTCTTACAATTGGGTCATTTTCTAAGTCCAGGCTATCGTCATCATCGAGTTCGTCTAGTTCATTTAATATTGACTGGTTAATCCTTTTCCGTGATTGCCTCCTATGTTTCTTTGGTTCTAGTCGGGGTTCGGCTCGCTGAATGCCCATATCTCCCACCTTGTACCTGCAAATTGCATTCTAAATTCAGAATGATGTCATATGTTTACAAGTTAGCTAGTCATATTAACTTAAACCATATCTACGATGAGAAGTCTGGGAAAATGCCAAAATTGAAGGATGAACTTGTATACAAATGTAGACTTTAAAATATTGTGGATCTAAGCTTTTCTCACTAGACTATTATTTCAGAACTGTAAGAATAGCTGCAGGTATGAACAGGATACCGAATATATGAAAATCACTGACGAAATGTGAAAATGATCCCCCTTTTGCCTATAGATTATATAGGACCATATGGAAAGAGATTTTCTTACAAGGCAATTAACATTTTAAGACCATAGTTTACATACCTAATATCACCCTCTCTTTTGGTCCCGAACATCCTCAACTGAAATTCCTCTTTGATTCTGATCTCATCAAGAAGTTGGAAATAGTAAGGATATCTTTCCCAATCACCTTTAACAATGCACCCCGGTTCACCAATATGTAGGCAGTTATTGAATGAGCATTTCATAGGTTCCCTGTCTTTTAGCATTTTCCGGATCTGAAAATGAGAGCAAAACAAAGAATTATCAGACAGTGTCAAACACACATTAGAAGTTGCTGTAGTGTACACATGGGGTAAAATGTGTACTATATTACAGTCAGCAAGCAGACAACCTCGGGGAAAGCCTGTGCAAGGGAGTGCTTTGTCACTTTCAACAAACTAGGTTGGTTAAACCCAGGCGAATCGGCGAGAAAACCCCCTCCCGATAGCGGAAGCAAAGAAACATGTCGAGTATTATGTTTTCCTCTACCACTTCTTGTTGAAACCTCCCCAACCCTCTGATCTTCAAACCAGTTACTACCCAAAATCTAAAGGAAAGAAATGCATTTTAAGGAATTGGATTATACACAACTTGTCATTCTCAACACAGAAAAATGGAGAGAAATCTTGAAGAATTTAGAAAACAAACCCACAGGATCAAAGTCATCAAACCAATTATCTCCTTCAAGGGCATCAGAAGAACGGTGATTACTTCTCAGAACATTGATAAGGCTTGATTTCCCAACCCCACTCGGACCAACAATTACAGTCGTTTGATCCCTCAAGTAAAAAGCAAGAGAATCAATGCCATTTTTGGTCTCAACACTGCAGAAAAGTGGCATAACCCCAGCTTCTCAACCTTTTCTTCCATGCCATAAGAGTCTGCAAATACATTTCATAATTTCAACATGTAATTTGCAATGAAAACATAGTCAACAAGCAACATAACACTCAATTCAGTGCCATAAGAGAGCATCAAGGTTTGGATTCGAACCTCTTCATCGACAAGTTCCGTTTTGTTCAAAGCAAGCGTGAGGGGAATTCCAGTGGATTCGGCTTCAACTAGGAATCTTGTAAGCGTAAAGGGCTCAATCCTCGGCTGTTCCATTGAGAAAAGCACGAGAAAGTGATCAACATTGGCGACGGGTGGGTCCGAAATCTCGGAGCTCCGTTGAAACACATTCTCGATGACGCCAAGTCTATCCACCAAATCAATGGACCCGACCACCACCTTGTCTCCTACCAGAACCTTCCTCTTTATCTTCTTCAAAACGTCCCTCACCACGCACAGCAACTCCACGCCGACTTTAGAATCTCCTCCATCGGAGCTGCTCCGTTACGGTTGGACGATGACGCGTCTGAAGTTGGCTTGGGAGGCGGCGACTGTGCCGATAGCTTGGGACTCGGAAAGGGTAGGGGTTTCGTTAGGAGAAAGCGCAGGGGCCAGGGAGGAGAAATCTTTCAAGACGTGTTTGGCTTTGAGGAGATTCTTGTTCGGCGGCGGTCTTCTGGATGCGTTTTGTTGTCTGGGATCAGAAGGAGACTGTTTGGCGGCAAGGGTAAAGAGGCCGCGATTGGGGTATACGTAGCGGAGGAGAATGGTGGTTATGGTTGGTGATCGGTAACGGAACAGAGAAAACGAAGTAATTGGCATCGGAATCAGTAGAGAAAATGATCGGTCGTTGAATTCAATTCATCAAAATTGAGAGTGAGACAATGTTGTGGAGTGAGTGGAATTTTATCCATTTCCTGGGTAGTGAAGAAGCGTCTAGCGCTTTCTTCGCGTTATTTCTGGTACGGACAGTTCTTTTTTTGTTGTTATTAGATGTAATTATGCTTTCTGTGTGCTTTTCTTTCAGGCAAGTTTAGAGAAAAATAGTAAAACAATTGAGAAGTACATCTAAAAAATCATTTACAGATTTGAACTGAAATTTACAATAATATTTTGAAGTTCTTCTGTCTTGCTTAAAAAGAAAAATATGTTTACAGTCGTCAACATGTAATTATTGTTTAAAATACCATTTTGTTATTGTATTAAGTTAAGAATTCTACTAATTTTAGAGGGACGTAAATATAATTTTATCATTGTGGGCCAAAACTATTGTCTACCTTTAATGTCGCTCCCGATGATCTATACATATTAAAAAAAAAAGTCAATGAAGCCTAAACTTAAACTTAATGATAATATTAAAATTATCAATAATTTTTATAACATATGGTTAAAAAAATTTAGTTCATATTTTATAATTTTTAGGTTGTGGGTTCAACATTCATCGGAAGTAAAATTTTTCGTTCCTCCACTAAATAAGAATTGATTAAAAATAATAATATTAAAATTAAATAAAACAATAATTTTAATTTGGTTTCTCTAAATTCAATTTGTTCGTAATAATACCAACAACTTAGAAAAATTGAAGTCACAAATTTTTATTCGACTTTTATTCGACCCACCCACAAAGTTCGACTACCTCCTCCTAAGCTTTAGGCATTAGCATTGGCAACACCAACACCGCCCCATAAAACTCGGGTCCTACAAACAAAGATCCAATTCACCCTCATAATATTTAGGAGAGATTTCAATTTGATATTATTTTAATTTCTTTTTAAATTTGAGTTTAAATCGTATTGGATTTAAGATAAAAATATTTTATCTGATTTAAGAATAATAATATGACTGACCTTTACATATTTATAGACAATTATATAATATTCACATGTATATATAATTTTTCAATTAAATCTCTACTTTACGTGATAAAAATAAAAATTATATATATATTTGTGTTGAACCATATAGAAACTTTTATCCTAAAATCGAGTAAGTTTCGAATCAGATGAAGTTTTCTTAAATCTGAGTCGAATCCAATGATAATAAAAGAGTATTATTATACTTGAATTAAATTCAGTTTGGCCAAAAAATTATAATCTATTTCGTTCTTACTCATAGTAAAGCAAATTGAATTTAAAGAATAGTTTATATAATAAATAATTTAAAAAAATCTATTAAGATCTGAATAACCCATTTACGTAAGCTTCGGCTCACTCCACCCTAAAAAAATAAACTCACTTTAACGCAATACATCAATAGCCTAACACCACACAGCAGTGGATATATTCGTTTTGTTCACAATTGGTGGTCGAGAGGCGACCGCGCTGGAGCACATATCCAGACTTGGAAACATTCCCATGTCCGGGGAGTAATCCTTAACCACACGGCGTGAATGAATTGGAATCTCAGTGAAGTTGATTTTTAGGATATGTGGTGAGCACCGGGAGATAGCCAGAATTGGGAATCTGGAAAATCATTTGTCCACATCATCCTCTATCGAAAACGCCACACTGCCCAACGATTCGTGGAAATGAACGCACCGTAACTAAAGTTGATTGTGTTGAATGACGGTGGGGCTGGGAAGTGAAGGTGATGCGTCTATTCGTCGTAATAAGTTTAACTTACTGAATCCACTACAAATCATAAAAGTTAATTAATTCTGTTTAAGTATGGGGTGATCGCTTAAATTATTTTATTCTATAATTAAATTATAAATAATTTAAATCCAAAAGTTATACTTTTTTATATGAAAAATGTGTGGATGCTCAACATAGTCTTATTTGGTCATAGCAAAGAGGAAAATATCAGCCCTATTCTTTTGACTTGGAAACAGCAATTCTTTGCTTCTTATTCGTCGTACTTTTACTGCACTATTATTTTGACTTTTAGTCTATGTTAATAATATATTATAAATTATTTAAACTTGAAACGACAAAGAAATTGCGTGGAAAAATTCAAACTCTGGAGATTTGGACTTAATAGTTTGTTTTGTTGATAATAAAATCATGTAAGGACGAGGATTACAAGAATAGAGAAATCATACCAACAATTCTAGTTGGGGAATTTCTATTATCCAAATACAGAATTCTTATAAAATAAAGATCATGTTTTGTCGTTCTAAAAGATTGGATGTTAATTTTTTTTAATAGTCTATAGTGATTATAAAGTATAATTCTTTCACACTCTTTCTTATTTATTGATAATGCACACATATTATATAAATACAGTTGCTCAAACTTAAAATATTTAGTGAAAATAATACTTCATTTACTCACTCAGATCATTTTATGAATTCATTGGATGTCAATTTTATAAAGACAAAAACAAGTGATAAATTATACCATATGAGATTTTATATTAAACACAATTAATGTGTTTTAATCAAATTATTTCCTTAAACGTATCATGTATATTAAAGCATTAAATTTACAGCACGAGATTAAACACGAAGCACTAAAATGAAGTTTTCAAAGGGAGGTGATGAGGGACTTAATTTTTTATTATTATTAATATGTGGTAATTACAAGACAATATCTGTTTAAAGATAAATTTTAACCTCTCGACATTGAACGCTCGCATCTTTGGCATATATGGTGTTCGAACTCAGGTCTTCAAAGAATAACAACTCCTTTACTACGGATGTCAATTGGTTCGTGCATAGACTTAAAACACTTAAAATAACACATATTTTTGCTATTTTTATACAAACAATATATTTTTCTTTATTATTTATATAAAAAAAATCTAAAAATAACACTTTTTTGATAAAATAATGTCATGTAAATCACTTTTTAAAAAAGATTCGTTTTATGAAATCAGTCTTTATTGAAATGATAAATAGTTTTCTAATTTTACTTTTAATCAAGATCTAAATAAAAAAGGAAAAAATATTCAAAATGTGAAAAAATGATATGAATTTTATGTAACAAAGAAAGAAATGTGTTCTTTCTGTCTCGCATTTGTTGAATGATGGTATTAGTGTGCAGGGTAAGAGGGAGTCCGTACGTTTATAGGGCGTGTGTATGTGTTCATAAATTAAAATTTTTAGAATAAATATTATTTAATAATTACTTTAAAAATATATTTAAAAAATTAAAAATTATATCTAAATAAAATTATTTTAATTTTAAATATTTAAACAAAAATATTATATTTTAACTAAGGCGTTGATTTAAGTGGTAAACAACTTGATATTGTTTAAACATATCTCAAGTTTGAAGTCTTATGTATATAAAAAAATCTTCATTGAAAGACTCAACTACCAAAATCGAGTGTTTAATCTGGATTAATAAGAACAAGACATGGAATCGCGAGAACAATAAAAATATTATATTTTTAAATAATCATTTTAAATTAAACCTAAAATAAACGAGGGATTAAAAATAAAAGAAAATAATGTAATGAATAATGACGTGGTGGCGCCCTGTCAGTTCTATCTTTATTCTTGGTCGCTCATTTTATGCTTATAAATTTATTCCCTCGGTCATAGTTCCTTCGCCTCAAAACAATCAATCAATCAATCCCACCCACCTCCATTTCCTCTTTTCTTATTATTATTATAACAAATTATCTCCTGTTTTTCAGGATCAAGGTAACCTTTCTTTACATTATCTTTGTCCTCTACCTTTTATGTTTTACATTTCTTTGCTTTTATTACACCCAGATTTAGTTTGTGTTATTCTTTACATTTGCTTCTTTTTTATTTCTAGCTTATTTTGGTTTTGTTTTCCAACTCTTTAGATTCGTATTTTTGTGTTTATACTCAGATCTAACTCTCTATGTTTCTTATGATGTTGGAAAAGAACATAAGGCTTTCTGTAGTTCGAACTAGCTTAATTTTTCTTGCTGGGATTGGTAATTGGTTGCCCTGCCTATTGCTTTAATTTTCTGATATATATACATTTGATATTGAGAATCCATCTGATAATTTTAGTTATTTAATTTGTTTTTAACTTTGGGTAGGTGAAACCAAGATCTGGGTTTTACAATTAAAGGGTTGTTCTACATGAACAGTGAGTGGTAAAAGTTTAATTGACCTTTCTTCAGTTTACTTTATACATTCTGGTGATTCCCCGGTGTCGTCAAAATGGAAGATATCGGGGGCTAAAACTGCTGAATTTTATGGCCATAAGAGGTAATTTATGTTTCTGAGTTCTTTGACCATGGCTTGTAGAATTTATACTACTGTTTCATCGGTTTCCTATGCTTTTCGATCTCGTGATTAGGTATTCGGGCGATGTGTGGGGAAAGGAACGGATACAAAGGAGGGGGAAAAGCTTCATCAGGTGTGAGGGTCCATAACTACTCAAAGAGCAGGGCCTTTGGCATGGATTATGAACCAGAATGGACTAGGAATAGATTATTGTCGGCATTAACAGCTCAAGTGATCCGTTCTGCTACGTCGCTTATGCCTTGGTGTTGTAAAATCCCTATAGGTGATGGATTTCATGAATTTCTTTAATTAGTTGACTAGCATTTATAGAATTATCGACGCATTCTTTTGGGAAACATATTTGTGTACTGGATTCGAGAAATCGTTTAGAAAATGCCTGGTTTTGTGAGTGAAAAGAAGAGAATCACAGAACTTACGTCCCCTGTTATGCAAGATACAATAGTTCATTCAAAAGGCAATCCACATCCATCTTCTCTGGCCATTGATGAATTAGGCAGCCCGCTGCTTCCGGGGCTTCCCGATGATGTGGCCAAGTATTGCCTTGCTCTTGTACCTCGTCCCAGTTTCCCTGCCATGGGCAGCGTATGCAAGAGGTGGAGATCGTTTATTCAAAGCAAAGAATTCTTAACGGAGCGAAAGATAGCTGGAATGCTTGAAGAGTGGCTTTATGTTCTAACCATGGATTTGGAAGGAAAGGAAAGCCACTGGGAGGTTTTGGATTGTTTGGGGCAGAGGCATAGGCTTCTTCCACCAATGCCTGGCCCTGAAAAAGTCGGGTTCAGGATAACTGTCCTTAATGGAAAGCTCCTTGTCCTAGCTGGCTATTCTGTAATCAACGGGACTGCCTCTGCGTCAGCTGATGTTTACCAATACGATTCTTGCCTCAACAGGTTTGTTTTCGTGTTTTCACTTTTACATGATTTGAGATAGTTTTTGTTCACGTGGGTTTTAACACATCTTCATGATCGCAGCTGGAGCAAACTTGCAGACTTGAATGTTGCGCGCTATGATTTTGCTTGCGCGGAGGTGAACGGCATGGTTTACGTCGTTGGAGGATATGGGGCCGAAGGCGAGAGCCTCTCCACTGCAGAAGTGTACGACCCCAATACAGATAAGTGGACTGTTATTGAAAGTCTACGACGGCCTCGCTGGGGTTGTTTTGCATGTGGATTGAATGGGAAACTCTACGTCTTGGGTGGTAGGTCAAGCTTCACTATCGGAAACTCGAGGTTTGTCGATGTGTATAACCCTGAGAAGCACAGTTGGTGCGAGATAAAAAATGGTTGCGTGATGGTCACCGCCCATGCTGTGCTGGAGAAGAAGCTTTTCTGTATGGAGTGGAAGAACCAACGGAAGCTGGCAATATTCAACCCGGACGACAATTCCTGGAAGATGGTTCCGGTGCCATTGACAGGGAGCACAAGCATAGGGTTCCGTTTCGGGATATTGGACGGAAAACTTATGTTATTCTCGGTGGAAGGAGATCCTGGATACCACACCCTTTTGTATGATCCGAATGCAGCTCCGGGTTCAGAATGGCAAACTTCTGATATAAAGCCATCTGGTTCGTGCCTATGCAGTGTGACAATTAAAGCTTGAAAGAAGCAGGGCCTGTGGGTTAATTAAGGATCTCAAATGACCAATTTCATATGTATCTCTCTTTTAAGTTCATTCACTTCGTGTTAAGACTAATTTGGTTTCAAGACTTCTATTTTGAGATTGAATTTGTTAATTGGATTTCTGTTTTACAATTTACCTTATGCCTTTCCCCATCCCCCAAAGTTTCCTTGGATAATGTTCATTTTTTTATTAGTTATGACGATTACAAGATAATATTTGTTCGAAAGATTCTAAATCATTTAATAATAAACAATTATAGATATCATGCTTGAACTCGAAAGTTTTAAGGACAACAATTATTCTTTTAATCATTGAAATTACTTAATTCGTGCTAATATTAATATCTTTTACTCATATTTTTGTCTTCTTCAAAATACAACTCGTTAGTGTAAGGTTAAAAAACGATAAATTGGACGGTTGAATGTAACCTAAAATATTAGCGTCTTCATAATATTTTCAGTTGTAACTTAAGATGTTATATTCTTCGTAGTATTTTCGGTTATAAATTTGAAATTTTCGTAATGTTATTTTTCAATTACAATTAAAAGTATTATAAATTTGTATTAAGTTTTATGTCAAGTATAATAATATTTTATGTTGTTATTAAATGTTAAGTTTTATCACAGAACTACTGTGCTTTTTGGGTAGTTGACAAATGAAAATACAGGAAATATTAGTTGGGTCTAATCATATGGTCAGTCCTTGTATTCTTCAGTGTTTCCAAATTTAATCTCTCAGTTTTTAAAATCAGACATTTAATCCTTCTACTTCTCTTATTTTAAAATTAAAATCAAGTTGATGGGTTTAATGGATAAAAGTTATAGAACAGGTGTTTGTTTAGTAAAGGTGTAAGGAATTGCTTAATATTGTAAGATCGAAACTCAAATTATCTATTTGATGTCCAACTAATTGAAATGTTAGTTAACGATCATAAAATAAGAAAATGCAAATTCATAATCATAATAATTATTATTATTATCAGAAAAAAATTAATCGGTTGAAGCAATTTTTTGTCGATATTGTATTTCAATTTTTAATTTTATTAAGATTTATTTTATACAACCAATCAAATAAATTGGTCCATCAATTTTCCATTCAACCAATTCCGGTTCCAACACTAGATTTGCTTGAACAAGAAGAAATCATACTAGTTTAAGAGCTTTTTAACATATTAGCACAAAATTTCCAGTTTTATGTATTCCGGCCCTTCATTTAAATAATTTAAATATGAGTTTCAGAATATAATTTCTTCAAAGACGGTCTAAATATATCATATACTTGCATCGAATACATATACATAATCCCACACCAACACTTAAATCCGAATAAGATTTTCGATATTGTATCTTGTTTAAGCAGTGCCAATTTTCATGAGTTCCTTTAGAAAGTAAATATTTTTGGCTTACCTTACCATCCATCAGTTTTGGGCAGGGCTTAGCCTTTTCTTCCTCTCACCAAAGCTCATGTTGCGCACCAAACTCGGTAGGCAGCGCGGCGCGGACCGGGCTGATTTTTCGTTCTCCGGGAGGCATCCCCGGCACGGTGTCATTCCGTTACTGCGAGCGGAGTTTGGGATAGATTCATATGGACTTGAAGTTGAAGGTTCGTTTTCCAACCGTTGTTTCGAACTCGTATCGTTGTTGTTGGCATCGTCATCGTTGAAGCTCTCACGAAATAACTCGATTAGTAGCTTCTTTGTGTCTGTCGGAGATTCTGCAGGCACCGCATTCTCTGCATGGTCCGGGGATTTATTTTGATGAGGTATTGAGTTTTCCCTGAAGCTTTTCTGGTGGTTTGGACTGTTGCAGGAAGAAGAGACGGAATCTGCATGAAAACAAGCTTTGTCAATCTCAAAAATCACTTGCAAATACTCAGCAAAATAATCTGCGGTTACGTTATATTACTCAGGCACCGGGAGTCAGGGTTAATGTCCGATACAAGCATGTCTATTTCTCTTACATATTTAAAGCATTATACTCTTGTTGGTGGTAAATAGAAGATGGTTTTAGACGATTTATCACTTCTTACTTTAGGTAGAATGTAATGGCCGATGATTTCAATGAGCTGAAGAATAATACGAGTCCTTAATTAAAGTGTTAGAATTAGAATTAAAAAAATTATTTGTAGGTCGGTAAACACAGATGTGGTCATCATGTAATAAATTTTGTCAATAATAAAGTTGTAGTTATCTGAAAGATTTAAGTCTCTAAAAAGATTTTAAGAATTTCAAAAGACTCGATAGTTGGAATGGTGATATCAGATGTATGATTTACGAATTTGACCAATTACAATATCTTGACATGACCGTTGACAAATTTATATGATATGTCATAATTAAATATATTATCTAACAGATATATTTATTTATTATATTAGTTTACGAATAAACATTATGATTAAGTCCTAACACCGTCGTAAAAACTTATATATAAGTCAGCATGCATGGAAATCTTTTTCCCTCTTCACATGTTCTCTCTCAATTCATTTCACTGTTCATTATCTTCTTCAGATTTTTTTTTTATTTCCTTTCATAAAACCATTGACATTGACTATACCTTTCCGTCTAATTTAAAATAAGTAACCAGTCACAATCTGCCATGATCTCATTTTTCTCACTACAACTCTATACTGGTGTATTTAGAGGAAAATGAGGAGTTGGTTAGATGTATATAGTTACATGCGAGCGAATATAACGGGGAAACATAAATAATTCTCTCAACAAAATGAGGGAAATCTCACCACCATTAACACTGAAGAAATCTTCGCAATCAGAGTCTAACCATGGCTGAGAATCAAAAAACCTCTCCTCTGCTTTACCTGGAGAGAAAATCACTGGAACACTTCAATTATAGAAGCTAAGCATGATCAAATTTCCACTCAACAAAATGGGTTTATTACAACATAAAACATCGTTTCATCATTTAATCAAGCAGTTGGCAGTCATTTACAAAAATCCAAGTGAAAAAATGAACCGGATGAAAGCTTTCGTCATTCAAAAACAGTGCCACAATCCCCAATGTGAAGTTCATCAAACAGCAAACACAAAAATCCAATTTAGAAACATACCCTTTTCTCGAAAACTAGTTTCATCATTCTGAGGCCTGGGATCGTATCCAGCAATCGGAACCTCCTTTCCAACATTGTTCTCTTTAATGGGTGATTGAATTCGGACACTAATATCCATGTCTGCAACATCTTTGTTCTTGTAGACTGTAACGCAATTCCCCATGTCCTTCCTTCTTACAACTCAGCCATACAGACAGACAGAGAGGCACTTTAACTAAGCCCGTGTTTCCTTCAATGCAAGGAAACAGGGGAAATTGGGGTTTTGATTTTAAGCTTTGAATTCATTACTTCACTCAAACCAAACATGGTGGGAGGGGACTGGGGGGATGGAAGTTGATTGGTCTTGAAAGCAAAGTAAATAGAACTTATAGGCGTGGGTCCATATTCAATGTTCTCTGTCTATCAACTGTATTTAGTATCCGTCACTATGGATTCCTCCTTGTATTATTGGTATCTTTCTCTTACTTACTAGACTCCTGGAAAAGGCAATAAAAGTATGCTCCTTGTTTAATGTTATGTAAAAAATTACGATATAGTTTGTTTGATGAAAAAAATAAACTAAAAAATAAAAAATTATAATGGTACCCGAATACTCTCATATGATGTAATTTTATTCAATTAAAAGTATTATTTTAATATATATATATATATATATATATATTATAAATTTATTGTTAACCAGTCATATCGAATAGACTCGTCAATTTACAAATAATCATAATGATTATATATCTAACACCATTATTAAAAGTCATTATAAAAACTCTCTATTAAAATCAAGAGAAAATGTTGAAACTATTATTCTTCACTGATCATGCATTTTTTTCTTGATTGAAGATACAAACACCAATTAATCGCCAAATTATCATCAATTATAACTTTTCATCCAAATTAAATGAATATAATCTTACATATTGAAGCATTTGTATGATTGAATTGGTTTGTGGCATTAACAAAAAGGAGAACAAGAGAAAGCGAAAGCAAGAGTGAAACAAGTTATTTGAGGAGTGACCTAATCTTACTGCTGCAATGATGAAGGGTCCAGCACGTATTAATTGTTTAGGCGACTTGAGGATACTGATGATAGCGGTGGATCCTGTAGTTTTCTTGCATGTCTTGTCTCTTTCAGGTGGTTGCACTTGTCCTTCCAAAACATTAAATCCCATGTTTGACTACTCATTTGGAAACCATACAACAAACTGCCAATTCCAACACCATCTATACTGCATCATCTTTTTTACACTTCGTTTCCATTTTAATTGAAAAAATTAAACAGTAGAAGGTCATTATCATTTGAGGGAGTTTGATCTAAGGAACATAATATATTTTTTAAAAAATGATACGATGAGAATATAGGATTATTTGAGATAATTTTAGGACGATGAATATGGATTAAATTGAGTTGGATTTCTTGATAAAAACCTGCATCTGATCCAATATATGTCATTTTTATTAGGAAAATTAAGGATATAATTGAAAAAAATATATAAAGAGAGATATAATTATAATTATCTCTAAATATATAATGATTGATCGTACTGTTATTTTGAGTCGCATCAAATTTTGAAGAAAAAAATCAAATCGAGTCAAAACCCATCGAATTCAAATTTCATGTCCATCCTAAACAATATTAACACTTTTAATATTTAAATGTTTAAATTTTCTATTTGAAAAATAAGAAGAAAAAAAATTGAATACCAACAACTCATTGATCTAGTAAAATGAGACATTAAACCCCTTAAGCACATTGGATACGAGGGACGATCACGATCGTAAAGATACAAGTTCGATTTAAAGCATTCTCAACACGTTTTAGAGTGATATATTGAATCACATTTTCAGACCCCACATATACAAATTGACACATGTTCAGTGATCGAGGTTTTGGGTACCAAAACTTAATGATTTCTCACTATGTGGCTTGGAATATAATGACGAAATTAGTGGGTGGTAGATAGCAAAGTAAAAGTGAAGCAACAAAGTAATCGTTTGTTACATGGTTGGGATTTTTCGGTAACTTGTTACAATTGCAAAAAATAAATGTGGTTTATTATTATTATTATTATTATTATTATTATTATTATTATTATATTGTCTATCTATTTTTCAGAATTCTAGATTATTCCTTCTAATATAAATATCAAGATCATCTTTACTAAATAAATGAAATAAATTAAATGAGTTCATGAAAGTTTAGGTTTTTATCTCAACCGGAGCTTGAATTATAAAAATCAAACTCAATTGAATGCAAATCAAAGTTTCAAACCTATAACTAGACTCCAACATACCAAAACTTCAAAGATACTATACCTTGCATTAGTTGGATTTCCTTGAAAAGGAAAGAAATTCAAATTCTGAGAGAAATGGATCGTCTCAATAATAAGCCTATGCACGACCCTATTCAAATTAACCGGCCGATAGGTCGGATACCGATGGTGCTAAAAAAAAAAGGCCTGAACTAATCTTATACAAACAAAAATTGTTCCTACTGTAATATTTCACAAATAGAGGGTAGAAGAAACTGAAGGCTATCATAAAAATTTTCACAAATAACAAATGTATTAAAGAAAGTGTGTATGAAACATGACTGAATAAAGAAATCTAATAAGGACAATAATTTCAGCAACATCTCATGCAAAAGAAAGAAAAAAGCAACAATGATGAATAACTGATTCACAAAGACAAAGGAATGAAACCCCACCAATGATATCATTGTAGAAATGAAGTGCGTAATAACAATGGAAGATGTATTCTTAAGGAACCTTGGGAAAACCAAATACTGTAAGATTTTGTTAGCCATCGTTTTCGGGTTATATCTTTTCCACTTTTATGTCTTTATCATCCAGTCAGCTACCCAATTCCTAAATATATATAGAACCCTAACTTAATCTGATCATTCTTAGGCTCGGCCACTGATATTAAGCATATTCCTAGGTATGGAAGAAGAGGATGGGGTGAGAATTAGGAGCTTTCGATATGAAGACTACAATAACAGGAGAGTGTTTTTGCGGAGCTATCCTCTCCGCTCAGGCGAAGATGAAGAAACGGTGACTGTCACCGAAGGAAGCAGTACAGGAAAGAAGCCTATGAAGAAGATTATCCTATCTGCATGAGACTGGAGTGGTGAAAAGCTTATGATTTTGAGGAGATTCAAGCATAGGTTCAGTGCTTATGTAATTGCTTGTATTTCTATCTGCTAGTCACCTACTGCCTTGATATCGGTTTGATCTATTTCTTCTTTTATTCCTCTCCATATCTTCAAAATTCCATGGTTTGCAAAGGGAAAGGGACAGGCATATGTACGGTACCAACTATGATTAAATAGAAGCATAAATGCTCAAGGCACTTTCTTATTTCATCACAACAAAACCAGAAGGTCCAAAACTAGACATTCTACAGTCTGATGCCTATCTCCTATCAACCCCCTATATGCAAGATCTGATTTTATAGAAAAGAAAGGAAAATGAATCCAAAACTTAATCTAGTAGCTCCATGCATGTTAAGAGAAATGACTATTTCAATGCCAACCCAAAAGTGAAATGGATGAATGTTAAGAGAAAGTTCATAGAGGGAGAACATAGGAATGACTATTTCAATGCCACCAGAAGGAAGCAAGCCGAAAAGGACCCACCTATTCTGGCTGCCTTCCAAAAGAAACCTCGAAACCTGACAAATAAGCTTATCAGACCACATAAGTTCCATTCTCAACACTTCTTATGAATGAAATGAAACTGAAGTAACACCTATAAATCCTAGACATAGAAACAAAAAAATAACAATTTTTCTACCTAAGATAAAATAAGGCCTAGATTAACTGAAGTCATATAATTTTATATAGTCTAACCACTTCATTGAAAAAACAAAAACAAAAACACATACTTCATGTCAACCTCTACCAATAGCAGAACCGATAATATTTTGCTAATAGCTATATCGTTGTGGCTATATTTACATACACCCAAAAAATGGGATTCAATTCAATTTACAAAATTGCATCAGAATCAAAACATAACTAAAGGTTTTAAACAGGGTTAATGGTCAAACAATGCTAGGAGAAGTAAATTGAAATGCTCAAACACTGGGGAAGGCAGAAATCTGAATGTTAGCCTAGTCATCTGTCTTCATTTCTTTTCTCTCCTATTTCTTTTTTGTAACAGTTGGTATATACAAAGGCAAATCCAATTCCAAAAACATCCCGCGTCTAAAAATTCTTTAGACATTATAAATTACAAAGCCAATCAAGCATTCAATTACCAGTAAACAAGTTCAGTTTTCATAAAAAAAGAAGAAGGAAATGTAAGTTCAAATGGGAAAAATATACTAACGCAAACAATCTAATAACAAATGGATAAACTAAAGAGAAGAAAAAAGTAAGAGCGTCAGTGGACATAAAACCCGGTTCTCTGTTCAAAGAGTGCTGGAAATTGGATCTTCAAGAAAATGCAAGTGCAGATTCCCAATAACACTACCGTTAAAAATGAAAGGAAATTGAAGAGTGCGGCTGATATCTCACATAAATAAAAACGTTATAACTATCAGTGATTCGAGAAAGAAAAAAAAATCAAATGAAGAAGGCCATTTATCACATTTCAAAGATTAGAAAGGTTAGGTTTCTTACCATGCTTTTGGATCCTTCTTAGATCGATTGATTTTGCTTCGGTTCGGATCAAAACTAGACTTACGAACTTGATTTTTTAAAGTTAAAATTGGCGCAGGCCAGCAGTCCAAAACCGGGAGGATTTTTGAATTCTGTAGTTATCGGATCACTTCGAGTCCAATTTAACCCGGTAAAAAAGTATAATCAACTTTAATGCCACGTCAAATTTCTTCCGTTTTTTCTTAAAAATGTAAAAAAGAAAATAAATAAAAAATCAAATTTTAATTTTATATTTTTAAAATTTAAAAATTTAATTTAAACTCAAATGATAAGTAATCATATTTTAACTTTTTTGTCTATAATATTTATGTTAATTTTCAAAATATTTATAGTTTTTTATGATATTAAATTAATCTTTTAATTATTGTATTATGCATAAATTATACATTTAGTGTATATATATTTTAATTTTATATAATATTTTTAATTATATAACTTAGTCATATTATTTTGATTTGTACTAAAATAATATTTTCTTTTATGTTTTTTTTAATGAAAGTACATTATTTAATTTAC